CTGCAAAATGACTTGCAATAGAAAAATTGTCCTAAAGCGTGTCCTGTCCGTGACGTACTAGATAGCTATGTGTAGCGTGCTGCTTTTTCATTTCTCCTGACTCGGCACAAAAAAATCTCGCTCTTTTCAATCCATTGGGACATCCTTGTTCCTCGTCCATGCTTATACAACTGATGTATTCTGGGTTTGGGGTTTGGCGGGGCTTTTTTTTCCCCAGATTGCCAGAGGCAATGGGTGTCTCCTACTGGTCATTTTGCATTTACATGAGGGTAGAAATCGAATGCATCCAGGGTGGCTTGGCCCAGGTGCCAGTCCCTTTGTATACCTCTCATAATGTTCCTTTTTCCCTTATCATTCCTATTCCTCCCCCTCTGCTCCTCCTCTTCCTGCCGCTCTTTGCCTTCCCTCCCTGTGTTTCCCTGGCGGCATTGCCGGCTCTGCACAGGCCCAGTTTCTCTAATCAGATGAAGCCGCAGGATTATCCCTCTCTCTCCCTCCCTCCTAGGCTCCATTTTATTTTCTCTCCAGCCAAGGGGGGAGGCAGGAAGGGGCGTCACATCTAGGCAGGGGAAACCCCATCTCCCAGTCTCCTGCCTTTGATGCTCTCTGACGATCCCTCCTCCTTCCCCTTATCATATGCTCACCTTAGTGTCAACAGCATCAGGCGGATCAAGGAGCCCAGTTTCTAAAGGAAATCTGAACTCTCTTGGCTTTCATTCTCCTCAGATTTCTGAGCATCTGTTTCCAATACCCTCCAAGTAACTTGGACAGGGAAGCTGGATGTGCAGTCTCTGAGTAGGTGGAAGGTAAGGACCACTGAAGTCATGCATTGCCCGTTCTCTCGTCTCCTGTAAGGACACCGAGTCCTCTCTGTTTTGCCAGCAGGTCTTTGAGAGTAACAAAGCAGATGAGGGGAAGGGAGAGGAGCTGCACAGAGACAGACCCAGGCTTCTGTAAGTGCTGTGTTGGCAGCAGGGGGTTGATAGCTGGACTGAAAAGCCCAGGAAATTGTAGTTTTCTCTTTTACTAAAATGATGGGAACTATGGCTCTGAGCTTTAATTGAATTTAATGTAGTTCTGCAGAAGGTGGGGGGGGTTGTGCTGGTGTTTTTCGCTTAGATGTGTATGTATTTGTCTTTTAGCAAGTGTTTCTAGAATATACTTGTCACTGTTTTGGGGAGAAAAACCCCCATAATCCCATTCGTCTTATTCCTCTGCACATCTGCAAGTTTACAAAGATGCTTTTTGATTATCTTTTGTGTGTCTGTTGGGGTTTTGATACTAAAAAAAAAAGGAGAGTAGATTGTATTGCTTTAAAATGTTACCTTTTAGTACTCATCTGCCGGAGGATGGTTTCCCTTGTTTTTTTCCACCATGTGTACCACATGTTTTTTAAATTCCTAAGAAGTTAATATCCAACACTAGAGAAAAACCGAGGAATATTTCAGTGCCTTCTGCATATCAGTTTTGGTTTACACTCTTCTTCCCTAAATAAATGATCAATCACTATTTAGAATGACCGATAAAATTTTCTCTTAAACCGAAACATGTCTTTTCCAAAGTCAAAGATTTGATTTGGTTTGGCTTTTTATTGTTGCTAGAGTAAATGTTTTAAATCAGAAACCATAGTAGAAGAGTGTTTTGTGCATATGTTGTAGTTTATAACCTGCTATGATTAAAAATAAGAATTTGTGCCAATGCACTTCTGGATTTTCAGGGAAGAGGTTTAAAAGGGAGGGGGAGACCAAGCAGTTATTTCTATTTAGAGAACTCTAAGCATGAATGGTGACTGGAAAGATAATCATTGCATAAATATATTTTGTAAAATATTGATCTTGTGCATAAATAAGATGAAACATATAAAGATCAAAATCTATCCCTTTTCCAGTGACTCATGCTTCAAAGTAGTCATCTGATACAAAAATATCAGTGATTTCCTTGCACCAAGACATTGATTAAAGCTTGCAAATAGTTGTTTGCATGTTTAAGGTTAAGCATATGTCTGAATGTTTGCAGGACCTAGATTGCAGTAAGATCTGAGTTCAAAGACCTCTGCATGTAGTCTTTGTGTAAAAGAATCAGGTTTGGGGAAGGTTTCATTTATGAGGGTGGATTAGAGGAGGGCTTCATGTTTTCATGTCGTGGCTCAGTTACTCTGTAAAACACTCTTCTCTGATTATAGGGTTTTGTTGATTTTTACCATCCAGACATTTTATCTTAACTGTACTCTAGAGAGAACTGCAATTGCAGTTTCCTTTATCTGACGGTTATCTAGGGCTGCATAAACAATAAGAGCAGTAAACTGCATATAGCCTTGTGATGTCTGAGCTCATTTATAATAACAAATGTGATAATTCTCCATTAGATAACCATACCAAATCCACATCCTTCCTTTCGTAGTAAACTATACATATTCAAAATACACTTGAAAACTGAGAGTGTACGAGGGAGTGTGGAACAGATGAAAATTGTTATTGATGAACATCATACTTCTGAAGTTTAATTTTCTTTCTTTTAAGGGCAATGACAAAGGATAAATTGGAGGTAGCTTTAGAACAGTCCACATGAGCAGAGGTGTTTGCTGTACCAGTGAGATAATGATACACCTGTCTGCAGCCTGGTTAGTTCTGTGCAGAACAGCAGCAAAATTGTTCTGGCCCAAGAACAACAGAATAGCAAGAATCATAGGCTGCAAATGATGTTACACTTTTACTTTCCTTGTCAGCCTTGCACTCTTCCCCACCGCCCTCCACCCCGTGACCATTAGCAGCCCCATAAGGTTTGTGGGCACCGGCCTTTTAGTAATTCTTGCAGTTTCATTGTACAGAAATAAGAGGGTTTTTAACTGGTATAAACTGTAAAGCTTTATGCATATACAGTATCATATGTGAAAATACTTCTCTTTGGGCTGTTAAAATTCTGGAAGATCTGAATCATCAAAACTCTTAATAGTCTTTTTTTTTAGCTTGGGGTGAGAGGGGGGTGTGTTTCAGTGGCAAGAAAGAGATCATTTCTCTAAAAGCAAAAAGAGGGGGAGAATGAAAAGAAATGCTGGAGTACAGTGGTCAGGAATATCTGCACGAGGGATACAAGGAGGAGGCGGTGAATGGAGAGATACTAAATAAGCCACTCTCTGGTTAAGATCATCTGATGTGATATTTCTTACAGATGCATTATAACCATTGAATTAATCTAAAGCTATGCAGCTGATAGTTCGTAAGTATGTTAAGAACTGGCCTTTAGGAGTATCCTCTGATTCCTTAGTGGATGGTGGGGAAGAAGGTGGTCTCTTTCCTTTATAGAAGCTGTTAAAGTTCTTCAGAATAAAGTTCCACTCAGAAAAATTATCTTTACCAACAGGAACCACAAAAAATCACTTTGGGGCTGCTTTAGGTATATATACTCAAAGCATGGGAATAGGGACAGGCTAACTAAATGAAGTTGACATTAGCCAGGTCTTTGCTAGTGTGGTGTTGAGTGTGAGCATTAAGCATGTGAGTTATATCCAAGCATCATCTGCACCAAAAAAGCATTGTAAGAAAGGTCACCTTCAAACTGGCCTGTCCCTGTGTGCATCTTTAAAGTAATATGTCTCCAAAATTATGGCTTAACTCTTGTGCAGTGTGGATTTAATACAAAACAGAGAAAGAAGCAAGAGTATTTCTCCATCTGCAGAATATTTGCTTATTAAGCTTTAGCAAGGGCACACCTGAGTGTGCAAATGAAGGTTAATGGGATTGAGCAGTTGTAATACCTTCATTTGACTTGCAGAGCTTTACTCTAGTCAACAGTGAGTAAGACTGACAGAACCCAGTTCATGTGAGCTGAACTGAAAGATGCGACTTCCTTTTCAGCTCAAACTAAGCAAACCTGACATGGAGATCGGAGAGATGATGAATGCACAAAGCTACCCTAACTCTTCTAAACTGATTTTTTTTTTTGTTAGACTTTTAAAATTATTTTATTACCTTCTGCAAAGAATCTGCTGGTAAAGTTCAGTGTTTATGACTGAACAGGGTGGATAAATATGTCTTGAAATGTTGCAAAGGAAAAAGATACATCTTGGGTTAGCAGTTTTATTTGGTTCTCAATGGCCTCTCAACTGTGGAAGGGGTGGAGTGCTTTTCTGCATTTAGTAACAAGAAAGGTGCTAACAAATTGGAAAGAAACTTTGGAGTTCACTGCCTGCTTCATATGTATCACCTTGTCTGTAGAATACAGGGATCACTTTTGTGGTTCCTTTCAAAAGTCATTCCTGGTTTACCTCGTTTCAGTAAAAGGTACGGGTTCCACTGTTCAATTAAACAAATGGTTTAATATTGCAAAATGGTTGCACATTCTGGGTTCTTTTGCGGCTCAGGACGAGAAGCTATATGAAAACTTCTCATTGACAATGATAGATAAAAGCACAAAATTATGAAAACAAAACAAAACAAAAATTCATTGAATCATTCAGTTTGGAAGGGACCTTGGGAACTTATCTATTCCAACCTCCTGCTCAAAGCAGAGACAGCTATGAGGTCAGACCAGATTTCTTAGGGTTTTGTCCACTTGGGTCTTGAATATGGTCAAACCAATGTTTGAAAAGGAAAGGATTCCTGTAACAGAGACTTAATTCTTTATAATCAGTATCTTGTTGCTAGCAGTTAACAGCAGATGCTTAAAGAGTTATCCTCTCGCTGTCCATGTCATACAGGTGGGATCTTCCTCTATGTTGGTGATGACAGGAACCTGCATTGTCTTGCAGCTTTGAGTTGTTCCGAGTTTATACCTCAATATTTTGTCTCTGGCATTATTAGATGTTAATAAGGAAGTAGAGACTTCTGCAGCTCATTCTGTGGTTGAGATTAACCAAGAGGACGGGGAACTTGCTTGTTTACATAGAGCAGGGTGTAAACTTAAGTTCTTGGGGAAGTTCTTCGCATACTCGGGATTTTACAAAACATTAGCAAGCTTTAGTCTGCTGCTTTACTGTGTCTTGGTTTTTTTTCTCTCCTTAAGGTCTCTTGTGTCAGACAAGCTTTGGGAAAGCATCTTGTGAGCATGGGCTCTTCTCTAGCCAAGCTCTAATGTTTTTCTTCTCTCAGTCCTAAGACAGTAGGAAGATGCCCTCTTTCATCCCTTTCAGATGTTTTCTGAAAACTATTGAACATAGTTTCCCACATAGGTCTGATTAGACCACAGAGTAATTGGGACAGTTGCTTTTTTTGAGAGGGAGACGCTGACTTTGACATAATAACTGTTATTTATGACAAAATATCAAGTTTGAAAAGGAAACTTATTCTTCCTAGTTCCTCCCAAATTCTTTGTTTATATAGTTTCAAAGCTAGCTTATACTACAGTCAGACAGTGGGAACTTTTAGCAACACTGTGAAACTCGATTAGATAGTCCTCTTTTTAGTCCTTTTCAATACTCACTTGATTATATGTGTGTAGTACCACTTATCCCTCTGGATAGAGATTGCCAGTTCTTTTCCAGCTTAAAGATATGTAAAAGACAGCTTGCAGTGTGAAACGAAGACTTAAATTTGTCACAGAATCTCTCTCTCTCAGAGAGATTTTCATGAAAAGTTCATCATAGTAAATAAAAGCTTGTAAGTGAATGCAGCACTGCAGGACAACATGGTCTGCAGTTGTGACAGCTCTGCTTATAAAGGTGTAATGAATCTACTTATAATAAATCATTGCTACTTAATATACCATGCATATATAATATGCATGTTATTAGCATGCATATTATATATACACTATATACATTTGACACCTAATTTGAGAAATACTGTTAATACTGGTTTTAAGTATTTGA